CGTGCCTCGGAAAGCACGTAAAGTCATTGGTCCTGTGCCTGATCTCTCACTGTTCATGTCTGTTTGCCTTCCCATAGGATTATGAGAGTGAGGGCATAGATAGTTCACCTGTGCTTGCACATATACTCAATATACACATCCCAAATATACAAACTCATCTACTTGCTCGACCATCTCCCCTTCTATTCTTATTTCACATATCGTTTTACTTTCTTCTCTTTCAAAAACCATAACTTTCGTCTTACTTGCTTTCACTTTCATTCCCCTTTCTTTAAATGACCTGTTCATTATTGTAACAATCATTTGCAACTCGGCCGCCGACGACGCAAGTATGGCTTAATCATCGGCGTACAAAAGGCATTTGATGGACTCATCCATTCTAAGCCCAAACCACTATATGTAGAAATCTGAAAATGGGACAGTAACTGCTGTTTATAACATTGCCTACGTTATAAAAGGCAGCTACTCCACTAAAAAATGGTAAAGGAAAATTCAACCTCTAAGGAAATGAAATAGGGTGATACAGTTTATATGAAACTTATTATTATACGGGGCGATTGACTTGAAAGTTACTAAACGTAATCTGTATATTACGTGTCAAAGTCACGCTGCAGCTATAATTATGATTGTAGACGAATAGGTCGGCTGGACCGATGTAGGACCACGCTCTCACAGAATACCAGCGTGATGTTGCTATGTTTCGTATGGTAAGTGTAGAGAACCGGAGACATTATTTACTATAAACGAGGCATTACATTTTAGCTCAGGGGTGACAACGCATCTGCATTTTGATTCTTAATTGAGGATAAATACATATGTCTATGGACCACAGTATCTACTTACCATCAGGTGAACTGTGTGCTCGTTTGTCAACCTTTTTCTATACAAAAGTGCAATAAATGGATACGGATTTAGTGCTTCTGAAAATAATCCATTACCTACAAAGGGACCAGAGAAAAATATATTAACTTTTTTAAATATGAACGTCACACTGGAATTAAAAATAATAAATTTCACATTTTTAGTTTCTTCAAATCTATCCTTAGGGACTTAAAAAGGGAGTGCAAAGTTTGTATGAAAAATATTATATCATGACGCTCATCCCAAAAAACTAGACGTAGAAATCTGACAGTAGCTGCCTTTTATGACTTAAGCATCCACTAAGAAAGAATTTCGGAAAATTCAGCCCTTAGTAAGAGAGGCGTTACCGTCCAGTGGCGATGCAAGCATATCCACTACCTCATATCATCCCGCAGGAGTCGTAAGAGGCGACAGTGGGAAACAAAACAGGAGGTGGGAAGCAACGTCTTCCTAATAACGACGTAGGCATTAACTACGATTAGGGTTACCAGATGACAGGAATTTTCCTAACATGTCCGGAATTTTAGTCCTCTTTTAGGGAAACAGGGAAAATTTGAAACTCTTAGGAATTTATAAATATAAAAAATACAAATTAAAATATTTCTTAAACAGTTTAAGCACAAAAAAATTACAATAAATGAATCCAATCTCAACAATAACATTGTTTCATTCATATGATCTGGCTCGTCCTTTTTATTGCTGTATATTGCGCAAAATATGTCACACATTGCGCGAGTTTTGTTTATAATTAGATATTTTTGCTGCCTCCTCGTTAAGGAAAAGTTAGGGATTTTGTCAGGAAAACTCATTTTCGAACCTGGTAGCCGTAACTACCATAGGATTTTGAAAAATTCAAATCCTCAAGGTATGAAATAAGGTGTTACAGTTTGTACGATACATTTTATTTTACGGGGTGATTGTTGAGTACTCTGTTGATAAAATAAATGAATGGGTAGTTTTCGATTTTTTAAAACAACCCTTTACCTACTTGCTTCTTTTAAACTACGCAACCACACGCAACGAATTTTTAAAACGTTTTTCATGCCATTTAAGATTTATTCCAATTTAGTATGTAAATACATTTAATTAACTTTGAACAATAAAACTGTTCAATATTTGGTATTTATAAGTCGTCAAAAAACCAACAGAGACATTAAAATAATTTACAAAGAAAAAGAAAAAAAACCCCCCCCACAAAAAATATCCAAAAACAAAACAAAAAAAAAAAAATTAAAAAAAAAAAAAAGGGGTTTATAATTATTTAAATAAAGAATTTGTTTTTTTTAAAAAAAATAAATTAATTAAATGGAAGAAAACAACCACCCCCAAATAAAAAAAAGGAAAGAAAATTCAAATTTGGGCCATACAGAGAAAATAAACAACGACGAAGTAGAGTACAGTTAATAATACAGCTATTTAGACAATAAAACTAAGTAGACAATTTGATTTTAAAAATGATGTTTAATATTCTGAAGGTGGAAGAAATTTTTGTGGTTTGTTTCTCAGGACCCAAAAAGTAAAAAATCGATTCTTTTTAAATTCAATTACAATATTATTTGTACAATTTTGTCAAACGTCGTTCATGGAGGCTGAGGGGCTCGTTGAGCTTGGGGGCCCCAGGGCACTGCCCCGCTTAGCCCCAAGGTAGCTACGCCACTGCTTGTAGGACAGTCTAAAAGAGCCGTGGTCGCTCAAGAGCGTAGCGCTCGCCTTAAATTTCATAGTACGCGAGCAACTAGGGTTCGATCCCCGGCGGCTTTGTTAATTGCAATTTTAAGTGATTTATCACGTTCTCGGTGGTGAAAGAAAACATCGTGAGGAAACCCACATGTCTGAGGAATAAAAAAGTCAAAGATATGTTAAGTCCGCCAAGATGCATTGGGGTAGCGCGGCGGACACTTTGTTGTCCTAAATAGTGAGAGGCGACCTGTGATACTGGCCAAACGGTGAAACGCATATAGGCTGTAACTTTACATTTTATACAGTCTCCAGCTGGTCATATTTCACTGTAGCTGGCTTCGCATTAATTGCTAAGTGTGACTATAACTTCACCGGCAGCAGGCAGGCAGACGACTACAGTTCCAGAACTTGCGCATTTTTGACTTTTATCAATACGTGATTTGGTTAAAAGTAAAATGTACAAGAAAATATAATAACACATAACAAGATGTACCCATTTTCCCTACAGAGAAACACAAGGAAGGAAAAATCATCTCAATAAAGTTGGGTATTATTAGATATGTAGGTCTTTAAAAATAATAATGAAGTTTCATTAACCCATGATGATTAATATAATGATTTCAATAGAGGTTAAAAATATTTATTAAATTTTGACTTTTCAAAGGGTTTCAAATATACTGAAATTTACTATTACATAACGCCGCAGTTGTATATATTTTAATTATTTATATCACGTTGCAGCTGTATTACAGCTGCTGTACGAACAGTATCCCCGTGATTTTGTAAGGACACAGAATGCAAGCGTAAAATAGCAGCATATTATGTATAGCAGCTGCTGTATTACGTATGCTAAACGACGAGAACAGAACAACTTTTTACTGGTAATTAGTCACTCTATCTTAGTCCTAAGGACTACGTAGTACATCTTTCTTCCAGATTCTTAATTGAAGTCAAATATAACTGTTTATGAGCCCACTGTATTCTTCATCATCATCATAGAGGCCACTTCACTGCTGAACTTAGGCCTCCCGCAAAGAAAGCAAAGCAAAGTCTTGAGCCACGTGTATCCATCGATTTCCTGCATGTTTTACCAGTTCTCACTTTATCTAGTGGGGGCCGCCATATACTTCGCCTACCAGCACGATGCTGTCATTCGAAAACCTCGTTTCCCCATCGGTTGCCGGTTCTTCGAGCTATATGGCCAGCCTATTGCCACTTAAGGTAACTAATCTGTTGGACTATGTCAGTAACTCTAGTTCACTGGTAATAAGGCATTCCATCTTAATCCTGAGGACTAGGAAGTACCTACATCTTTCTTCCAGATCTGTTTATGGGACTGCATCTCCTAACTATCAAGTGTTCAACTTCAACTTCGTTTATCATCAGTTGTTGTATAAAAATGAGCTTGCTATTGAGTATATTTCGTTTTGTATTGTGTTTGTTTAAATATAAAACTTTAATATCACAAAATGCTCCTTTAAAATTTTAATGAATCTATTTATGTAAAATTTATAAAACTTAATTTACACGTGGTACTTCGAATAGCTTATAATGCCAATACCAGATTCTTTCATTCCTCGTTATTATAGTGTGTGTATGCCTTAACAAGATTGCGGATTCACATAGGTATGCTGAAGTCAGTAAAAATACAAAAATCCACTCGGAAAAATATATTCAATTTTTATAAAATCAATTTCAGGCGTCTTTATTAGCATAAATTTGTACAATATAATATTACATGATATAGTTACACAAATACAATTTGAAAATCGAAAACTTTATAAATTTTTCTTTACTTTTTTGATGCTGCGATGGTCACTAAATTAATAAAAATAAACTTCATCGATTTTCCACAACTTATTAACTTTTAAATATACAATTGCTACAATAAAAACATACGTTAACTGCGTTTCAATAACTAGTATTGTTTTAATATAATATGAATAACCTCGTACACTTTATATTTCCTAGCTTTAAACAACATTTTTCATATAATTAATAGATGCTACAGTCTTCACTCTAGTTAAAAATGTCGTACATTCACGTACAAAGTGTCATTAAATTATTATATTATGCGTAAACTTTTTAAGTAGAGAACATAACAGACACCTCCTACGGGTAGCGTTAACAGGTGGTATATTAAAACTGTTTCGCGGTCGGCTGAGGTATTAGCAGCAGTATTGAAATAAATTACATGCGATTTTAGACTAAAAATAGTGATTCTACTTAAACTATGTTACCATACAGTTTCTAGTCTCGAAATAATAGATAATATTTTATAGTATCTATACTGTACACTTCAAGTCTCACAACAAATACATACACAAACGCAACGGCGACAAATTTCGCAATGTCTATAATTACAGGTTCATTTTTACAGTGGTTTGATATGTGCTATGTACAGGGCAGTATCACAGGAGCGGCGGGGCATGGGGCAGCGCGAGCGCCGCAGGCCCCCGTCACACCAGCGTGCTCGGCTTCACGTCGAGAGGATGCTCGGGCGAGCGTCCTCCAGTCCCGCCTTCACCCTGGCTGTTCTCCTCCGAGTCCGAGCATGATTCTGAACTTCCCTTCTTGCCCCCATTATGTGTCTTAACGTGCTTCGCGAGGTGGTCCGACCGCATGAATCTTTTGTTGCACACCGGACATGCGAACCTCTTTTCGCCCGTGTGAGTACGGAGGTGTCGCTGCAGCTCGTCGGATCGCGTGAACCTCTTCCCGCAGAACAACCAATTACAAACAAATGGACGCTCGCCTGTGTGCCAGCGTAAATGCGCTTTAAGGTGGGACGTTTTTCCGTATACTTTCCCGCAGCCGGGTATGTGACAACTGTGTATGTTCTTTTTGCGTAGATGTGCCCCCGCAGGGCCCAGCCTCTCCGCTTCCTGGCAGTTCGGGCAGTCGCAAGTGGCGCGACCCGCGTAGCGTCTCTGTGATCGCGGTGATGGTGCCTGTGCAGGTGGCGCCGGCGAACCAGGCGTGTGCAGCCCAAATGAGCCTTGTGTCGGTAGCACTGATTTATAAGCATCTTGCAGCAAATGTGGGGCCGGTGGGAGTAAATGAGCTCCTCCTGACAAGGAATGTGTAAGTTGCGAGTAGTCTTGCCCAGCGTAGTTGGCCATCTGTCCGCCGACGTCTAGCCAGCCGCTGTGTACGTCCCACCAGGTGCTGCCCACTGCGCTGACGCCACTCATTTCAGCCGCTTTCAAGGCACCGCTGCCACCACCTCCGCCAACATTGAAAGGCCACGATTCGTACGGATGCCGAGAATACATCGAGCCGAGACTGGCGCTGGATTCACTTTTTCCGAGTAACTGATCGCCTGATGAGGGGAAGTAAAGATCGTTTCCATACGAGGGAGCTGCTGCGCATGATGTAGGTGCACGCGCATACGGAGCGCAAGCGGACGGCTGCGAGCGCGGCCCGGAGCCACCGCCGGTCGGCGAGTGAGCTCCTGGACTCTTCTTCCATGGATGAAAACCTTTGCCAACAGCCGCGTCAGCCAGCGGAGGGGGCGATTTACTCGACAGTTTGTTGCACTGCGCCGCAAGCATCGCCAGAGGCGTGCCGCGTAGGCTCGGATGTTCCTGGAAAGATGAACAATGAACAGTTAATAACGTCGGATGAACAAAGAAATTATTATTTATTCGGGTTTAATTATCGATCTGTGCTTAGGCCGTGGGAATCAGATCGAATGTGGACTCAGATTTATAGCCTTATTTATATGTGAATAAACGCCGCGTTCGAAATGGCGCCCGCGGCGTTCAGAAATAATATTAATAAATTACGAGAAGCCTGCGATGTGTATTAACAATTAGGTAGGGCAGTGACAGCTCCCGACGCTACCGCTTTGCGACTGCGGGACGTCGTTATTAATACAGACTGCCCACCGTCCGCCCGACTCATAAAACACCCGTGTTGATTAAACGACCACGTAATGTGAAGTAAAACAATAAACAACAGATAATAATAAATAAAAATTATGTAAATCATCACGTATATCCGTTACATAAATTACTTTACTCCGAAAAAACTATTGTAATTGCCCTGCATGAGTAGATTATATTACTATAGGTTACTATAAAGAGAAAACCATAATCCGTTCCCTGCACCCATTCTGTTTTAAATAAAGGTGAGCGTAGAAGGAACATCCGACCGGATATTTCACCCCAATGTGAGACAAAGGCTCAATAAAAAAGTTTCATTGTATGCAATAATATAATACGGGGATCCGGGACATTGGGCTGGGACGTCGTCGGGGCGAGGGGTTTGCCACGCCCTTTATATTGTGATTGGCGCAGCTGTCGCGTCAGTGTGCGCCGGTCCTCAGAACTGCTGACTCCGATTTACCAACAGCAGGCTATCAACTCAAGAACTCAATGTGGATAAAATTTTCATTACTTATTCCTTGAAATTCGAAAATGATTGAATTACAAGACCAGAAACTCAAATAAGTTACCTAGAATTAAAAAAAGAAGAAAACATTATAGTGTGATTTATGTACAATAAGTAAGATATGTGAGGGTAATATGATCACCTTAAACTTTGCCGCTCTATAAAGCCAAAACTAGGAGGACAGAGACAGAAAGTCGTATACTATGTATAACGAACATATTAATAAAAATAACAAACAAGCTTTGGCAATAATTAGACATATACATAAACCTTCACGCCTGTCACCCAGAGGGGTAGGCAGAGACTACAGACTTCCATTTGGCACGATCCTGACACACCTCTCTCGCCTCCTTCACCCATACACCTACGCATACATGCTGTCGGTTAAGGGTACTCCTAATTTGGCCCGTTTTCAATAAATCGCCAATTTGGTCGATAAGTTTTCGCCTAGGACGTCCCTTTCCAACACTGCCATTCACTTTTGCAACATAAATTTTCTTTGTCACTCTTTCCTCATTCATTCTTTCCACATGACCAAACCACCGAAGCATTCCTTTCTTAATCCTGGTCACAACATCATCTTGCAAACCACACTCTTCTCTTATTACACAATTTCTTACCCTGTCGTTCAGATTCAGCCCTAACATACTCCTTAACGACCGCATTTCTACTGCGTTGATTCTACTCTCGTGCTTCTTCTGCCACACCCAACTTTCACTACCATACGTTAAAGTAGGGAACCAACACAGTATTGTGAATTGCCATACGTGCCTTTTTTGACACATTTTGACTCTTCACAATAGAGTGCAGGGCCCCATTTACTCTATTTCCCGTATTCACTCGTCGTTCTATATCCTTATCATATCTCCCATCTCTGCTAAATACGCAGCCCAATAATTAGAAACACTTCGAAAAATCTACTTAAAAAACTAACTACACTATACAATATGTACTTAAATTGACTAAAATATTTAGGTACTATAATATTATCTGTCGTAACAGCGTCGATAAAGCATTGACCTTTTAACCCTTAATAATTAATTTGTTTGACCCATGAAGAGGTATCATAACACAAAGCCATCTATGCAAACAAGGCTGTAGTTTTTGAGTTGTAAGAAAGGGACCATGTTAACTGGATGACCATATTACCCTCACGTACTATTATTGATTTAGAAACACCTCCTTCCGCCTTCAAGTCTTTTTTTTTTTTTTTGAAAAGCTTCCATTTTTATGTAGTTACGTAAAATCTTTTAACCAGATTTTGCTTAGGAGGTACGCCTATTTGAGCTTATAACGACCTCGCTAATATGATATGCATCTTCTAAATTTAAAGTCAACGTTATCGGTAGCAAGAGAGAAATTTTTACGTGATAGAGCCATGCTGCAGTTATATTAGTAGTATAGTTGTAGCACGAATGGGTCGGCTCGACCGGGGAAGGACCACGCTCTAACGTAATACCAGCGTGAAATGGTAGCTTAATGCTGCTGTATTTCGTACGGTGAGTGTAGAGAACCGGAGACACATTTTACTGGAAATGAGACATTCCATCTTAGTCCCAACGGGTGACAACGCATCTGCATTTTGATTCGTGTTCGAAGATAGATGTAGATGTCTATGGGCCACAGCAACCATCTACCATCAGGTGGACAGTGAACTGTGTGCTCGTTTGTCACCCTATACTATAAAAAAAATGACTTACCTACCTACCTGCCTGCTCGCAATACTAACAATAGAAGACAATGCATCGTTACCGTTACAGTCTACTGGTCAACTTAGGCTTACCTTAGATTGTCTCATAGGGAGAATATTTGTCATAGTTGCCACGCTTGGCAAGCTGGTTGGCAACCGCTGTTGTCTTTATTTTTAGTCGTTATTAGGAAGACGCTGCTTCCCATCCCCTGATTTGTTTCCCTCTGTCACCTCTTACGACACCCACGGGATGATATGGGGTAGTGGATATTCTTACACTGCCACTACACTGTAAATATAATAAAAGTAAAGTAAAGTTACAGCCTATATACGTCCCACTGCTGGGCTCAGGCCTCCCCTCATTTCTGAGAGGGTTTAGGGCAAGGAAGTGTCCGCCGCGCTGCCCAAATGCGTGTTGGCGAACTTCACATGTCTTCGAAATATTTTTTTTCTTATTCCTCAGACATGCAGGTTTCCTCACGATGTTTTCCTTCACCGCCGAGCACGTGGTAAATCAGCACTTAAAATTGCAATTAACAATTTCATTGGTGCCGGCGGGGATCGAACCCGGGTTACTCGCGTTCTGTTAATACGTGAGGGTAATATAGTCATCCGGTCAATATGGTCACTTTCTTATAACTCAAAAACTACAGCCTTGTTTGCATAGATGGCTTTGTGATACGATAGCTCGTCATCGGTGAATCAAATAATAAAGGGTAAAAAGGGCGATGCTTTATCCACGCCATTTTGACAGTTAGCATTATAGTAAATATTTTAGTCGATTTTAGTATTACGTAGTGTAGTGTGTTTTTTAAAGTTGATTTTTCGAAGTGTTCCTAATTATTGCCAAAGCTTGTTTGCTTTTTATCTAAATATATTAGTTTTAGTATACGACATTGTATTTTCGTCTCTCTCTTCCTTCTAATTTTGGTTTTATAGAGCCACAGAGCTTAAGGTGACAATATTACTCTCATGTACCTTACTTACAATAATATAAGTGTTATTATTACAAAAAATATTATTTTGTTAAAAATTTAAAAAAAAAATACTAGGCTTACAAGAGCCTTAACAACAAACAGTTATGCGACACTTATGAGTGCATGCTTGTGTATAGTAAATGACAGCTTGGCGGCCATTGAGTAAATAGAAATAATGGGCCGACGCGACGCGGGCGTTATCAATTTGATCTACGTATCGTACTGGTGGCGCGGCCCTGCTCTCGATTAACTCCGAGACACTTACGCGACTATGATGAATGAATAAAGTAACAACTCAACATTATTTTTTATATTCGTGTTTTTGCCGCTATATTATAGTGAAATAATAATGATGACAAAGTTCTGGAAATCCATTTGCATCACATCAATTTTTCTTTTTTTAAGTCTTACCTCTTTATTAAGATTTTCTCCGGTATCGTGGGGTCTGCTTACATACATAAATTTCACAAGAACCTAGATCTAGACCCGTAACAATTATTTATATCATACAAATACTTAATCCGTATTGGATTCGAACACGCGGCCCTTAGATCTGCGACTTAGCAATAATGCGTCTCGGACTAGTCAACATCTACTACAAGGTAGACTTTTAGGACGTAATATAAAACGAAAACAAACAAATGAAGCAATGAACAAATGAAGAATAAAATTTAAAAGGAAACCCAAAAACGGACCTTTCCGAGAGTGCACCGGGTGGCACGCATTACTTGAGTAAACTAAACATTTCGTTGGGCAAGCGATCTGGTGACAGAAGATATGATATCGCACTGGTGCCCATGAATCGTCTGTAAAATGTGGTTTAAACGTTTTTCGATGGATTTCTCTGCATCATTCTGTCGCGAGAGCACCGTCTCACTCCTCTTAGCAGAGTGTAGCGGATGAAGGTTGATATTTAGTGGTTAGTTGGTACTACTACCACACATCCCGTAGGTGTCTTAAAAGGAACATAAATGGGTAATAAGAAATGTAACAGGAGGTGGGCGGTAACATTTTTCTTGTAAAAATTCAATGGGACTATCGCGTGGCAACTATGGCAAATATTATTCGCCTATTTGGCAAAAATAGCAGGTAGGACTTATTTTCTTCCTAGATTTTCATTGGAATGGAACCAGCTTCTAACTATATCGCATGCAAAACAGAAAGAAGTAACGTACGTGAGGGTAATATGGTCATCCGGTTAATATGGTCACTTTCTTATAACTCAAAAACCACAGCCTTGTTTGCATAGAGGGCTATGTGATACGATAGCTCTTCATCAGTCAATCAAATATTAAAGGGTCAAAAGGGCGCTGTTTCATCGACGCCATTTTGACAGTTTACATTATAGTAAATATTTTAATCGATTTTAGTATTATGTAGTGTCGTTGGTTTTTTTAGGTTGATTTTTCGAAGTGTTCCTAATTATTGCCAGAGCTTGTTATTTTTTTCTTTATATATTAGTTATAGTATACGGCTTTGTGTTTTTGTCTCTATCCTACTCCTAGGTTTGGTTTTATAGGGCGGC